CCCCCCCTTTCCTGACCTGCCAGGCCTGTGCTCGGATCAAGGGTCTAATTGGGAATTTTAGGGGGGACCCAATATTTTTTCCCTCCCATGTTTGGGGGTCGTGTTCCTCCTTACTATGCCTACCAGACCTTAAGGGCTCGGAATGACTTTGAGGATGAACCCCATGTTCTTTTTTTTAAATATTTATTTTAATGGGGTCCCTCCTAACATTCCTACCAGAACTAAAGGGTCTGGTATTGTTTGGGAGGGGGAACCACAGGCTTTTTTTTCCTTATAAATGTCATTTTTGTTGCAACAGGTTCTATACATCGTACAGATGCGCTACTTTACATGCAGTTTAAGGGGACCCCCAGGCACGATATTTAAAGGAATTTTTCATTGTTATTGTTTTACTTTAAGCAATGTTAAAATCACTGCTCCTTTAAAAACTGTATTTTTTAAAAGTGTTCTTTTTCATTGATACATGTCTCCCAGGGTAGTACCCAAATCCTCATACCCTCATACCCTTTTATGGCCAATTACTTGCCTTCAAGAGGGGAGCATTTGATTTTCCGAATACTGGTCCCATAGACTTTCATTCAGTTCAAAGTTCGAGTTCAAACTTTTTCCATGTAAAGTTCAAACTCGAACCGAACTCAGGTGTGTTCAGACCATCACTACAGACAAGCAATTTTTTAGATATTTTACTCTAACCTCATGCCTGAAGTATGCCAATGAATGCAATCCATGCTAAACCTTAACCATTCATATAACAGCTACTCTCCTATTTTGTATGCACGTATGTATGTATCACTAAGCCTTCCATGAGTGGCTGAGTTTTAAAACTGCATTAGGTTTATTATGATAATTGTAACACATTCAGTATAAATGAGAAATGCAAGCACTCTAAAAAAAACATACTTTCTAGGCCGTACACTGAACTTAAAACATGACTGAAGATTAAGAAATGTTCATGTTTTGTGTCACATTTACTTCTAGCATTTTATAATTTCCTGACATGTTGCAGAAACATTACCAACATAGTAGTACAATGAAAACCATCTGTGCATCATCTGTAAGCTGGAGTTCAGTGCCTGCTCTACATACCCAAATGCAGGCCCAATGTCAGGCTGCTGTCCTCATCTTCATTATATAGTAATACAATTAGCTTTCCTCTCACAACGTGTTGAAAAATAAATTCACGTAAAACTCACCTACTACCATCTGACCTGTCAGATGCCCATTCTGGTTCCTTGCATTAACTGTTACATTTCTATCAGACTGTAATACCAGTGGACTGTCCTGCAATATAGAATAAAGTCAAAATTTTAATATATGAATAAAGATAACACATACATTTAGACTAATTTGTGCTGGGTATAAAGTTATAAGTAAAGCAAGGACAGAAAAGCAAAGCATCATATACTGTGGTGTAACACTGCCCAGCACTGCTGCCTAATATCACAGACTTTACTCCTGAAGAGGGGGGGGGCAGAGATTAGGGGTTGTATTTGAGCTGCTATGGTCAACATCATTAGAGTCCTGTAAAGCATTTTGCACACTTTAAAGGAGAATTAGGGGGAGAGTGAAATGCACTCATTCCCATAATTAGAGCTGACGTGTGACACTGAAGCTGTCACACTTCGACTCTATACATTGAGAAGGATCACATACCGCTGATCGCTCAGTTCATGATCTTCTCCTTGCAGAGAGCCGTGACTGTGAGTCACCGCTACACACAAGGAATCCCCCTCCCCTCTCTGCTCCTCCGTCGCTGACTGGAGGGATGGACGGGCTGGTACAGCTGGCTTGGCCTTTTTCTCCTTCAATCAGGTGGTGGGGTGGATCATGACAGTATAATTGGGAACTTTCTCAGCCGCAATGCAGTTCTGTGCTGTCAGCATATAGCGGACAATAAATCTAAATGTATCCTGTATTCAGTATGCCTGCTGTTCGATTTATTACTGGCTTGTTCATGGAGCTTTTAACAATTATTTGTTTTAAAATTTAGTATGTTGGTTATTTACCAAGGGAGTTCTGGGAATATTTTCCAGACTCTTTTGTTCCTAAGCAGGATGGGCTAAAATTGTTTTGCAATTTGTCTCAGAACCCAAGGAGAGGAATATAGGGGGCAACCAATGGGACACACGTCTCCTACTCAGGCTGCTTGTATTGTAAAAAAACAGGTTCTGAGGAATTTTATTAGCTTTCTTGAGTACCAAACGTTTCAGGCCTATACCCTGTTTTACGAAATCGCATTAAGAATCTTTATGTGGATATTTCTGTCTGTGATGTCAGAACAGATCCAGTTATGCAGTATATTATGGCCTGAATGTAGATGACATTTTGTATGTGCCTGGGATGAAATCTGGCATGTTTAATATATGTGGAACAGTCTGTGGGATTCGAAATAAATGGATGTGTGCAGGCTCATTCTATAATGTGAATCATAGAGTTCAGGAAATGTAAAGAGTAACAGGAAATGGAAACTGAAAAAAAATAACCTTGCTGGCAGTTCAGATAATCAATATGTCACCAATAAAGCTGAAGCAAACAGAGATTTTTGTGTAATGCATTGTTAAGTGTAATGTGTATTGTTATTGTATATTGGTGAGTTGCCTGCCAGGGGGCAAATTGTGACCCCATTGCCCCTTCTGTCTGCTAAAAGTAGTGGTTCTAGTCAAAAGGAAAGTAATTGTTAGTCATGATACATTTTATAAGCTCGATAATTGGATATGCAGGCAGAACTCCTCTAGCTCCTGTGGGTACTGAAGACAAGCTGCAACATTATCATCTTAGGGTATGCACATATTGTTCTACAATAGAACAAAATACCTTTGCTTGTTTTGTAGTGGTCTATAAAGACACATATGGGGTCTATTCACGAAGCAGCCTAAGGATCCAGCCGTAGCTTCGGCCGATCCTTCGGCTAGCTTCGGCCCCAGGACCCCGCTGCTGTACGGGCTATTCACTATAGCCCGTATAGCTCGCGGACTTGGCTGAGCAGCTCAGTCAAGCCGAACGCATATGCCTCGGCTCGGCAGAGCCACGCTGAAAGCCGAAGCTGGCCGACAGCCTGCTTCTGACAGCTGGGCGGAGCCAGCCGTGATGTTACGGCTGGCTCCGGCCACTTGCAGAGAGATCAGCTGGTAACCAGGGACACTGATCTCCAGAAAGCAAACTCTCCCAGGCACTCCGGGAGTCTCCAGCTCCCGGCCGCCAAGGAGAGAAACACTGCTTTTTCTTTTTTTTCTTTATTCTAACACGGAGCCGTGTCAGAATACGAAAAAATCATTTTGGCCATAGGAATGCATTGCTAGATTCCTATTGGCTATTTCAATTTGCCAATAGCAAACTACCATTGCACCTGCCCTCTGCTGCAGTTCTCCATCAGGTCCACCACTACTGATTGACAGCCGCAGAGGACGGGTACAATAGATAGTTTGCTATTGGCTATTGCAAATTGAAATAGCCAGTAGGAATCTAGCAATGCATTCCTATGGCCCCAATTTTTTTTTTTTTTTTTGAAGGAAGCAGAACCGCTGGCCCATAAAAAATAGCTGGGCGGAGCTGGCTGTCACTGCTAGCTTTGCACAATCGTTTTCTGTTTATTTTTTTCTACTTTTTAAAACTATTTTTCTGTTCTGCTCGGTACCACAGAGGGATCGAGCAAAAAAACCGAGCCGAATGCCGCTGAGCTATTTACTCACTGCTGTTCGGCATCTATAAGAATAGACCGAACAGCAGCGAGTAGCCTGCCGGAGGTTCGGCATTGCCGATCCAGATGTTCTGCACCCGATGTACGGCTGATTTCAGCCCATATGAGGCTGAAATCAGCCGTACCAGCCTGAAGTGAATAGCCGAACAGCGTTCGGATCACTTTGCTTTAGGTCGGTCATTCACTCGGCTGCCTACGGCAGCTTAGTGAATTGACCCCATAAACTTCATGTCCTTTGAATATGCTTACTTGTGCCACCACGTTGCGGAGTGCTTTGGACCTTAAGTACAACAGTACATCAGGACATGGTATGTGTCCAGATGTTGAGCTCTGATGTTAGATGTAACCCCAGCATTTAAACAGCCCCGATATGTTAATCAGAGCAAAACCTAAACTCCTGTCCAGAGTTTGACAGCACACTCAATATAGATAACGCCCCCCATCTCTGACATCATCATGGACAATTGTCTTGTGAGGAAATGTGTGCTTCACATTAAGCAGGCGAACGCTGAAAGACGGCCGGACGGGAGTCTCCTGGATGTGGGTTGGCATCTTTAGACATCCTTCGTACCCGCGCTCCCCCTGGCGCGCATGAGCGGGTAACCGCCTGGATTTTAAACACCCAGCTATGGCCGTTTACATACAAGCGGTCCGGCATCTGAAAAGACACCTGATCGCTTGTATGATGCAAGTGAGGGTGCGCCCCCCCCCCCCGTCCTTACCTCTCATTGCTGTCCCCACGACAGGATGTCATGCCGACCCCTTTTTTCAACTAAGTGCATCTAGAAAAGTAAAAATAAAAAACACAATACAAAACCTAGACTACGTGTTAAATTACTGAATTACTTTTTGCCGGAAAATACAAAAAATTTATTCAGGCACATAATAATTTGTTTGAGAATCACGCCATGCATGCGTGGTGTCAGGTGGCATCACACGCCGATATAGGCTCCGCCATCTTGCTGTATAACTAGATATACACCAAGATGGTGGTGCCCAACATGTGCAGTGTCATATGACATCATGCGCCCAGCCTCCAGAACACGCCAATGGCTGAATCCAAAATAGCATAAAAATGTGTTTTGTTTGATGAAACGAATTAAAACGTTTTTAGCTTTCGTTCATTTCATCTGAAATTAATTTTTAGTCTTTGCACATGTCTAACAATATGTGTGTGTGTGTTGGGGGTGTGATTTTCACTTTTTTAAAATCATTTTTTTACTGTTGGTGGGGCCCTGGGGGAAATATTAGGGGTCTAAAAAGACCCCTGACATTTCCCTTTTAAAATAGAAAAAGAAATTGAGGACACAGAAACCTCAATTTATTTTTCTGCAGCCTCAGTACTCAATGAATGGGAAGCACTCAGTACAAAGGCTTCCCATTCATTCAGATACTGATGATAGTAAATATTTACTATCAAGCAGTTTATGAATGGGGAGGAGCTTCTGTACTGAGTGCTACTCCCCATTCATAAAATCATGAATGAACAGGAAGTGGTGTAAATCACATCCTGTTCATTTATAACTGGAGACACATAGTACTATGTGTCCTCGGTTATTTAAAAACACTGGAGTGATCAGACGATCACTCCAGTGTTTGCTCTGCACACAGAGGATCGGTATATATCACTAATATTTACCGATCCTCCACTCGGTCACGCACAGAGCCGCTGTCATCCTGAAACTGACAGGATGACAGCGGCTCTGCTCTCTTCACCGCTTGATCATCCTGAAAGCTGGGGCTTCTCTTCTCCCTATTGCCCGGCCATCCTGACAGCAGGCAGCTCTCCCTCCTGCCCCCCCCCCCGCAGTTTCTCTTCGGGATCCGAGAACAGTGCTGAAGGGGAGGGGGGCGCAGGGGGGAGTGCTCTCATGTTGGATGTAGCCGCCCCAAGGGTGAGCTGTGTCGGCCACCAGGCGCCCTTGTTGCCATGGCGCAGAACAGCTCAAACATCCCAAAGGCCGGCCCTGCTGGCCTGCCATCCATCACTATCCCCTGCCACCACTGCTGGCTTGCCATCCATTGCCATCTCCTGCAATGACTGCTGGCCTGCTATTCATCACCTTCTACTGCCACTGCTTCTGGCCTTTTATCCATCACTATCTCTAGCTACTGCTGCTGAGGTAGCTACTGCTCCTGCTACCTCTGCTGGTTGTCCTATGTTATATTTCTGCCTTTTGTCTCTGACAAAATCTGCTGTCATTTTTATGTGAGGTATTTTTAAGACCTGCCTTGTTGCTCTCTCTTACAATGTTGCTCATTCAAGCCATGTACAGACTCTCCAGTCATTGTGTTATATGTCTTAATATTGTCTCTGAAATAGGGCTCTGTTATATAAATTTTTTTAATAACAACTCATTTTCAAACTATGCTATGTTTAACCACTGTTTGACAACTGTTTGACAACTGTTACAACAACTTTATTTTAAACTTTTTGATAGCTGGTAGATCTGTTATATCTGCTAATTTAAATGCTTAGTTACTGCTAGGTAGAAAAAAAAATAATGCAATACAACAAAAACTATGTAAAAAGGATTTTTTAAAGGTAAAATTACATAGGGAGACTACTGCTTTATGTAATCCA